ACGCCCGGAGCCTGTCCAGCCGTGGGCGGGGGGGTGTGGGGCGGGCTGGCCGCCGACCCGCCGCTGCCCTACGTGGGGGATCGGTGCCTGACCGGGGGTCGTTATGGGACTTCTGGGGGATCCAGGATCAGGCCCCCAAGGTCACATCGTTTTCATCTGTTTGGGGAAAGCTTGTGTCTGGGCATGGAGCGGGTAGAAGAACATTGTTGTGTATCGACGATGCTTCACGGTTACAGAGAAAATATATCCTTGATAGAGCTTCTAGGTGTTTTGTGAGAGGGCTAGTAACTAGGAGTAGTAGCTGTTTAAGACAAAACAATATTATGATGTTGTGCAGGTCAAAGAGTCTCACTTGGTGCTTTCTGTGTCACATCCCTTCTACCATGCCAGCAGGTGGTTGAAACCATGCCTCAATCTGAAGATGACTGTTTTAAATCAGGAAACAGATCAATGGCTTATTTATCTTCATGCCTTGCTAAGTGTCTGAAACTTACATTTCAGTGTGAGGCCTTTCACCTGTGTAGCAGATGCTGTGGGAGCCTCTGGGGACTTTTATGTAGTTTGTTCCATGCTACTGACCCTTCCTTTTTCTTTCTTCTGCTTTTTTGGGGGGGAGGGCACGAATCTTAGTACAGATCATGCGCTTTTACAGATTGGAAGGTCATAGCTATTTTTGTAATTAGAAGAGTATTGTAGTCCTCATTCATGCAGGTTAAACCTTAGGGCATGGTGACCTTAGTGGTGTTGCTGGCTCTGTCCTTTAGCAGTGGAGGTGGGTAGTGATTGGGTCTGCTTGGAGATACTCAGCTGGCTGGGTGAATTGTCTGTGTGGTTAGGTGCTTACTGAGTGTGACAGCGATGCGTTTATCTCTTGGTCTCACCAGGTGCCTCTGAGTTGTTTTGCCTTGATTCTGTTTTTCAGACTCGTAAGAGACAGAAGCCTGTCAGCGAGACAGAGAGTGGAGAATGTTACAGGTCACCTTTCCGGAAACCCTTGGCTCAGTTGACCAATAGGCCGCACTGCCTGGATAGCAGTCAACATGTAAGTGGGTGTTACTGCTAGTGCGCCATAGCAGGTAGGTTGCATGTGGAGCTCATTCATCAAGGGAGTCGCAGCAGGGCTAAATTTCCATGGACACATTTAATCAGAGGTGTTGTGGAAGTGCCACACAGAGAGTTTGTGGGGGAGATCTTTTGCTAGCTCCAGCCACTTAATGTTGAAGGTGTGGTGGGGGTACTTTCTGTAATGGAAATCCTGAATAAGAGAGTTCTGTGGGGCCTTTGAGAAGGATAGTGCCAAGGGATGTGGGGAGCTTTCCACACAGGTGGCTCAAGTGGTGTCTGCCTGGTTCTCTCTGGACTTCCACTGCTGGAGATCAGGTGCTGCCCTGGCTGGGTGCTCACCCGTCTGGCCTGGATGTTTCTAAAATGGTAACCAAGCTCCTTTAGAGGAAATGAATTGCTTGAATGAATTACCAAGGCGGGGGAAGTAATAGCATTTAAAGAAGTGAATAATGCCAGTGGATTTAAGAAGACTTGAGTTATGAAAAATCAATTTTATGCATTAGAAAACCCAAAGGAAAATAGTTTTGAAAAGCAGAGTTGGTGGGGGGAATTGTGCTGGTTTGTTAGTCTCTTCCTTTTGGATATTTTTGAAAATAGTTGGGGTTGAAGCTTGCATAGATTGAATAGAGGGACTCTCAGCAAGTGGCAAAATTGTCCTGGGCTTGCCTTCTTGAGCAATCTCTGATTTCAGACTTCTTAAGCATGTTTTCTTTCTAAATTCCTAGGAGGCTTTTATCCGCAGCATTTTGTCCAAACCCTTCAAAGTCCCCATTCCAAATTATAAAGGTAAGATGAGGAGGTTTAAGGATTGTCTGTTGACTGACTCGGGTAAAACGGATGACGCTTAGGCCTGTCAAGTGTATCTGTGGGGATTATTGTTGGTTTTTGCACTGATGCATATGTTCCAGAAATCCTGACTTAATTCCAAAAGAAAAATACTGGCACATCAGCAAAGTCTTCATATTTCTTACTGGTGTTTAGTTTGGATAATCCTACATTTCAAAACTGGATTTTATGTTCTTACTGCTATGTATTTGATGTAGTGCGAGAAGATTGTACATCATATCACAAATACAACAACAAGATGAATTTCAAGCAATGAAAATTTACCATCTAAATAATACCCTAATGGTACTAACAGACAGAAGGCTGTAGGTAAAAAAGATAGTACGTGCCAGTTTTCTTTCTACTTGGTTTGGTGTGTTGAGTCTCAAGGTGATCTTCAAAGCAAGGTAGTTTTGAAGTTCAAAGCCTCAGATGGTTTGAATCAGTGAAACAAAAGATCTCAGAAACAAATGGGCTTGTTCTTGTCCCCTTCTTCCCCTTCACCCTCTACCTGAAAAAAATCAAACACAGGTTAGTCAGTTTTGCCAAACTTTAGTTGTAAAAATATGTCTGTAGGCAGACACTGACTGTAATATGACAAGCCCGCAAAAGTGTTTGACAGAGTTAGCTTGTGGAAAAGCGGATTTGTCAGGAGGCTGAAACAACTGTAACTGGGTAAGCTACTTTCTCTGGCTGTTACCTTCTCTTAATTGGGAAATGAGGCTGTTTCATGTGCTCTTTTCTCAGTATGCATGTGCTGCTGCCTCAGCTTGTGATACACCCTCCTCTTGGAAGGAGGTTTAGCAAGCAGCGAGCAAAGTGACCCTGCTTGAATCCTTCCCAAGCAAAATAATTCCGGGGAGCACAGTTGCCTGAGTTTTGATGGGAAAGCGGATTTCTATGCATGTTCTTTTTATATTCATTTTTATATTATTTTTATATTCTCTGTTCTAAAACTGTGACAGCAGAATATAATACTAGGAAAAGGGATTCGTCCTTGGTTTCTGCTTTTCACTGAAATTGGCTCCAACGTCTACTGTTGCTCAGCAGAAAGAAAATAATACCGTAGAGTGGGTAATGGCAGTATGGTGCCAGCTACGATACTGTGAAACTTCGTCACTATTAAAGATCCGTTCTGGACTTTGCATAAAAGATACAACTCTGGCTAAGTTTGGATTAGGTGATCCAAAAAGAGGATTTGACCCAGTATATACTAAGCATGTGGAGATGTATTTATTGAGCTGCTGAGGTGTGCATTCTGGAATCCTGCTTGTCTTTTAGAAAACTAGAACAACCACCTTTGGGTACTAGGAGTAGCGCCGATGCCCAGAGATAGCTGAGAGAGACATTGTGCCTGTTTATGTTTGGATGCCAGTGGCACAGGTCTGGGATGAAGCAGTCAGTCACCTTGCAAGACAGCTTGTACTGTTATGTGCCAGCATATATGGCATCTGCTGCACCCAGTTGTGCCCGTTTTGGTGCACCCAATGCGGTGGGCAGGGCCAGTGCTCCATCTTTGCCTCTGCTCCTTCATTGTATCCTTCCCTGCTGCAGAGCTACCTGCTGTGTGCTGGCAGAGTGCTGCCAAACAACCACCTTGCGGGGGTTTGCTGTCTGCCCCAGTTGTGCCTGCATCTTAACTTCAGCACCCAGTTAATTCACTGTTTCTAAACATGATCAGACTCTTCTGCAAGGCCCTGCTTTCTTCCAGGAAGAAGTTGTTCTTTGAGTTGTGCCTTTGTTTGCTTTCAGGACCACTGGGCTTGCGCGCGCTGGGTATCAAACGGGCAGGGCTGAGGAGTCCGCTCCATGACCCTTTTGAGGAAGGAGCTCTGGTTCTGTATGAGCCCCCGCTGCTGAGTGCCCACGACCAGCTGAAAATAGACAAGTGAGTCATCACCTGGCACAAACACTTCAGCTCTGACCTTCTTGTACGTTTAGGTTTGTGTGCTTTCTTCCCAAATGTGTGTGAGCTGGGGTCTGAACATCAAGGGAAGTTTGGTTCCAAGTACTCTGCTTCTGAATTGGTTCAGGTATGGTAACAAAGAAGGAATGTATCCATGCTGGATTGTTTGTGTTCTTCCACAGGCTGTTTCATCTCCACTCATCAAAAATTTAAACCTGTCGCAGGGAATGAGGATGCACACATGGAGAAGCTGCTTAGAAAAATCTTATGGCTTAGTTGTTAGTCAAGAAACATCAGCAGCTAGGGACAAGCAAAGGGAGATGACTGACAGTCAAATATTAGGCTGCCTAATGGTTTTTATTCTGAAGTAGTTCTTTTGTGCTGTTATAACTTAAAAGGGCTGTCAGCTGGATCGTCATGGGCAGAGGAGGGGGTTGCTATCTCCAGTAATGCAGTTACAATATTGTTATTGAAACAAGGAAAATAATAATGACTTTTTCACTGTGTCCCTGAACCACATTCTGCTCTTGTTTTAACCACAGCCCAAATACATGGTTTCACTGGTGTTTTACATTGTAGATCAGGCCTCTGTGACTTCATTCTCAAAACTGAATTAATCCATTTTTCACTTTCTTGTTGGCAGTTGCTTCCCTCATGCCACTGGGGAGTCCTCAGTAGAGCAGTGAGATTTAAAAAAAACTAAACATATGCTGTGCCGAGTTCATTAATCACACTGTCTTCTTCCTTGACTGCCTCCTGCAGGGACAAAGCACCTGTCCATGTTGTGGTGGATCCTGTCCTCAGCCGTGTTTTACGGCCCCATCAGAGAGAAGTAAGTTTTCCATTGGGACCTGAGGGTATGGCTGGAGGACTTGGTGCATTTCAAAAAGCTGCAGTTCCTCTGCTGGAATTGCTGCCCACCAACTGTGAGGTCTACATAGACCTCACAGACTAACAGCCTGTGACAGTCTAACAGACTGTAGTCTGTTACAAATGCAAAGTGAAACATTTGTTTTAACCATCCTCTTAAGAGGCCTGAATGCTGCAGATATTCTCTGTGCCCTGTTAAGCAAGAGGACATGCTGGGAGTTAGTCCTGTTTGTCCTTAAATGTGGAAATTCACTGCTTGCTTGTGGGTAAGAACTTTTTCTTCTCTTGCCTTTGATCTAGCAGGGTCAGAGACCTTCCAGCCTAAATGCGATGCTGCCTAACACACAAGCGTGTTCTCTGTGGGACTGTAGGTCAGGTCAGCTGATGGTGGAAAATGGGGACCTTCTGTGACCATTGTGCAGTGGTGGCACATGTCTAGGAAAGCACATTGCCTGACTTTTGTGTCAGGAATGATACCTTAGGAAAAGACCAGACTCTCCGGGGAGATGGGATCTTGGACAGTCAGGGCTGAAAGTCCAGCCTTTACTTGTCTTGAATTCTGGAGATGTAGCTCTGCTGAGTGGAACTCAGTGTGGAAGGGGGTGGGATATAGTTGGAATAAATTGTGTTGCAGCCCAGCCTGAGCTGGGCAAGGCAGATTGTCGACCACTGTGTTTTGGTAGTCAGGAGAATTAATTGGATCTGCAGTCTCTGAGCCAGGAAGCACTGAAGCTCTTCTTTCTGGCACCATGGTTCCCAAGACAGTGTGGAGTAGATTCCTGCTTCACTGTGTTTTATTTGGACGCTACCCTCTGTAGGTGTGAGCTGTCCGCGACCTACATAGACTTGCAATTTGCCAGTGGAGAGTGCCGAAGAACATTTTATGTCGTAAATATGTGCAACATCACAATATTGAAGCAGTGGGTACTAATCTCCAAATATCTAATGTACGTATCTGGACAGTTTGAAGTTCAACACAGATGCAGTGTATTATTATTTAAGCCTAGAGGCAGCACAGATGGAAGCTGTGATTGCTGGCCTTGCAGGCTAAGGAGGTCAAGCTGGATGTGTCCCTGGATGGGAGATATTCAGATGCCTCTGAGAGTGCTGTAGGCTGCTCCTAGCTTGTGCTTTTATTTCAGAGTTGGTACTGAACCTGTGATCCAGTGTAATGTTCCTTTGTGGCTTCATAGCTGGAGGCACTCTGTTTTTGGGTAAGATACTGCCTGCTGGTGCTTTTGCCAACTAATGGTAGTTATTGGTGTCCTGGGCACACTCTGTTTTTTGACAGCTAGATATCTCTGATAAGGCAGTCTCTGTTCTAGTCTGACGAGTAAGTCTTTGCCTGCTAAGATTTGTGTGCTGCTTTATTCAGGTGATGCTCCCAGACTGTTGTACAGCTTCACTGTCTTTGTCATGTCTTTTGGCCAGTTGCTGGGAGGTTACCCACCTGGATCCTCAACCAAATGCACTCTTTTAGTCAGTAATGGATTCCATAATTGTTCAACTGGCTTAAATAAACTTAATTAACCTGTTGTTAAGGGCCTAAGGAAGAAAGGACTTAAAAGTGCAAGTGAAGGTGCTCCATCTTCCACACCTAAATAGTGGAGCACAGAGGGGTGAATCCATCCAGGTGTGTTTAGGTTGTGTCCCTCACTCCCTACTCTGTTGACACAAGGCAGGGACCTTGTACGTTCCCAGGAGAATGCCCTGTTTTTCTCTGTCTGTCATCACATGATAAAGGAACATTTTGTGGAGTCTGTCTCTCTCTCTCTTTTTTTTTTTTTTCCTCTCTCTTTTATCTTGGTGATGTGTCAGCCTAATGCAGGGCTGAGCTCTTCTCCCACCATGTGATGTGGGCTGTAACCTCAGCCCTCTGTCTTCTCTGAAACTAAATCTGCTTTGGACCTTGAGTCCTAAGTGAGTCATTGTGCTTCTAGGCAGAAGCGATAAGGGATGCTGAGGGTATTCTAGGAGTTAATCAGGCATTGGAAACAATTCTGCTTGCTCTATGATTCTGTGTTTTTAAAACCACCTACTTGGGTGTTGGTAAGATGATTAACCTGTTTGCAGTGATTCATGCAGGTTAGCTGGTGGCCTGGGCCTATCTAATGCAGCTGAGGGTAGAAGTTTTGCGGAATTCATGTCAGGAAGCTAGTTATAATTGTGTGGTTAAAATGGAGTAATATTTCTTGTATGTTATGAGGTATGTGTTGGCACCAGTAATGTTGTTCCAAACCAGACATGGCCGCGTTTTAGCTGCGTCTCGGGTGATTTCCCTCTGTCTCATTAGAACACTGCATGTCCCCAGGGATGTGCTACAGAGATTTACTTTTTGTTGTTGTATCAGTCCTGTGCATTGTGGTAGTGAAGTTGTCATTCTGCTGATGTCCCTATCCTGCTCTGAGAGAACTATTTTTTTTGGCAGGGAGTGAAATTCCTCTGGGACTGTGTGACGAGCAGGCGGATCCCCGGGAGTCATGGCTGTATCATGGCAGATGAAATGGGGCTAGGCAAAACCCTGCAGTGCATCACACTCATGTGGACGCTTCTTCGGCAAAGTCCAGACTGCAAGCCTGAAATAGAGAAAGCCATGGTTGTGTCTCCCTCAAGCCTGGTGAGAAACTGGTACAATGAAGTACAGAAATGGCTAGGGGGAAGGATCCAGCCGCTGGCCATTGATGGAGGCTCCAAAGAAGAGATTGACCGTAAACTAGGTACAGAAATGTTTGCAAATGGTGCAGTTTTCTGGCTTAGGTCAAAATCTTGCATTGTAAGAAGCCTACAGTAGCTGATGCAAACACCTCTGAGCTGTCTTTAGAGCTCTGGAAACTGATGAAAGTCTCTCCAGTAACATGTTTAGATCAGGCCCTTGCATGTTTGGTAACAGCTGATCTTTTGTAATAATCCAAGTCCAGTCATGTGCTTAAGTTAGGGCAGTCCCAGTGCCTCTTCTTTGCTCTAGCCAGAAGCCAGGAAAGGAGTGGGCAGAGATGGGAGGGGGGGTGGAAATGGGGAAGGGAGCATGGGTATGTGGGTGGAAGGAATGCTGCAGAGTAATAGGAACAGACAGGTTTTCCTAGATTTTCAAGGCAAAAAAGTTTTCACTATAGAGCTTGAAACCTTTTCTGTTAGTTTTCCTCATCCCTCTTTTTTTCCCTTTTCCCCCTTTCCCTCTGCAGTTGGCTTTATGAACCAGCGTGGCCTGCGAGTGCCTTCACCCATCCTGATCATCTCCTATGAGACCTTTCGACTCCATGCCGAGGCGTTACAGAAGGGCAGTGTTGGGCTAGTCATATGTGATGAGGTACAAGGGAATCTTTAAGGAGAATCCGTTCCTGATATTTTCTAGAGATCTGGGCAAAACTGTCTCTGCTTTCTTAAAGCCAGGGGAGGGCAGTGGGAAACAAGGTTTAGCTGTGGACAGCACCAGTTCTGGTGTTCGAGAGGCTCTGGGTAACCAGTTCATCCATACTGGGTGAGCCTGAACAAGAGAGGGTGTTTCAGGAGCTGAGATACAAAAAAAATCCAGGTAGTGGTAACTGTGGCCACTTTCTAGGTTGCTGGCAGGATGGGGGTACCTACTAGGGCCCTCTCAGTGTGAAAAATGTAGCAGAAAAGAGGTCCACTGCCTGTCTCTGACTCTGAAAGAGGCATTACTCTTTTGGAAAGGTAGTGCCCTGGCTCACTAATCTGGTTTTCATTTTTTTTTTGTATCTGTCTTTGCTAAAGTGAGAAGTTTGGCCTGGCCTCATGTTCTGCCCAGTAATTTTTAACTTGGTTCTGCTTTGAGCAAGAGGTTGGACTGGAGACTCCTGAGGTTTCTCCCAACCTAAATGGTTCTGTGATTCAGCATGCTGTTGTGTTCAGTGTTGGCTGCTGGCAGCCACTTTATCTGGCCATCTTATTCTGTGCTTATGGGGGAGTTTGAAGGGCACTCCCATGGCAGGACCCTTTCCCCCTCTCTGTCGTATCCTGCTTGGGGCAGAGGTAAGAGAGCTGGGTGAGGAGTTACCTTGTGTTTCTTGTTCAAGAAGAGACAGACCTGGCTCACTGACTGCTGGATCTAGCTTTGCCCATCCTGTGTTGTCCAGCTTTGTTTTCACATGGCTCAGATTGAGTTATTTTTTCATTTATTGTTCCCTGATTGTGGTTATAGGTAGTGAGAGCCAGAAATGCTCTGAAGGACAAAATAAAACAAGTGACCTCTGCCACCTTCAAATGATCAAGCTGGGGGCCTAAGCCACTGTTGAGGTGTACTGTGCTGCCAGTTAGTGGGATTTGTTAAATAGTGGTGCCACCCACTGGTTTGGATTTGTATTTGCTAGAACAGTGCTGAGAGAAGCTCAACAAGAGCGAGCATCCTCAGGAGTGTAACTCCCACACGTCTCAGTGCCCCTGGAATGGGGCCAGCAGCTAGGGGTGCTGGGAATGCAGGTCCTTGGTCTTGTGTCTTCCATAGGATCCCAACAAATACTCAGCTCTGCAGTGGTCTGGCACTTGTAAAAAGCATCTCATCACTTATGCTTTGATAGCACTCCGATGCTAATAAAGTTGCTTTTCCCAGGCATGGGATATGGGGCCTGTATTCAGATTACCCCGTAAGTGGTGCAGAACCTCTTTTTGTTAGTGTGCAAAGGTCTGGTGGTCCTGGATATAAGTGGTCCTAGAGGCCTGTGATCTTGACCTTTGATGTAATGGTACTTGTCCAGAGTTCAGTGCCTGGTGTTGGTAGCTGAAAACGTCCCTGTTTTTGAACAGGAAACAGTTCTTAGACCAGGTAATGGTGGTTATTTTCATGGTAGGCCCTCTTGCCTGGTCGTGACTCAGATGTTCCTGGTCTGGGATGCTTGTAATGTTATGTTTCCTCATTTAATGGTTTAAGGTTTCCCACCAGATTGTTGCCTTTGAAAGAAGTCTGTCACAACAGTTGAATACACATACAACACTTAGTCCACTACAAGGAATGGGAAAAGTGGTGAGATGCCATGTGGGACATGGAGCCTGTCAGTGTTGATGAGGATCTCCAAGCTGTTTCCTGTCAAGGCCACTGGATTTATCAGCTTCATTCCTTTTTTCTTTTTGCAAAGGGCCACAGACTGAAGAACTCTGAAAACCAAACATACCAGGCTCTCAACAGCTTAAATACACCTCGACGAGTCCTTATCTCAGGCACTCCCATTCAGAATGACCTGCTTGAATATTTCAGCCTGGTGCACTTCGTCAATTCAGGCATCCTAGGTAAGACATGAATGTGTGAGAGACATGAGGGAGGGGAAGTTGCTGGCAAGGCCTCCCCTAGCTACCAGTGCCAGTGAAAGCAGCAACCCAGACATTAGTGAGAGGAAAGGTCGTGAACAGGTTGGAGACTTATTCTCCTTCAGTTAGGATCCAGAAAGTCCACATCAGGGTCCCCTGTTCTAGAAGCTGTATATCATCAGAGCTCTGTTTCAAGATGATTGTAGTTTAAAGTACACTAGCCTAACAGGTGTTTTGGAATGGGAATTAATTATTATGGTAAAATGAATATATGACCCTGAGTACTATGTGGATGATCTTGTGTAGCTATACTGGTCAGCCAAAATGTCCACCTAGGCTAGGAGCTTCTCTGACAATAAGCCCTTGGAGATACTGCAGGAGTTGCTGGGCAGGAAGAGCCAGCTCATAATGACACTTCCCCACAACACTCCTGGGCTATAGCAAGTTCAGAAATCTAAGCCAGAAGTGGTGTCTTTGTAGGAGAGGCTCTGTGGAGAGGAGGGTTTGATGTGACATGCTCTCTGCATTGAATATAGAGGCAGCCTGAGAAACAATTTTTCCCTGCTGTCTGTCTTGTATCCATCTGGCACAGGAGGGTGAAGTGACTGGTGCAAGGCGGAGTGGTGTACCTTGTGGCAGAGTTAGGCAACGAAGCCCAAATTTTCAGCAGTCTGCCATCCTACTTTTAGATAATTGGAGAGAAAGCTGGGGGTGATGTCTACCATTTGGAGTTAAGACTGCTCTTGGTTTTTTTTAAAGGCAAAGGAGGCCTGTGAATATGGGGTTAACTTCACTTGAGATAGAGGGAAAAGAGTCTGGAGGAGAGATACTGATTAGTGTGAGTTTTCAGGATCAAACACCTTCTACAATTGCTCGTAGCAGACTGAAATATTCTGTCTCTGACTCCTATCCTCTGCTTGTGTCTGCAAGCTCCATTTTAATTTTAAAAGCAAAGTAGTCTTTGCATCCACTCCTGCACCACTGAATTAGGAGCAGGTCTGTTGCTTTCCAGTGTGGAGCAACTTGGCTTTGTCAAGAGAGGTCACTTTTTCTGTCAACAAATGAAAATAAACCAATCTGTAAATCATTTTCTTGTTGCTGTAACTCATCACCCATGTTTGTCTCAGATTGTTTGATGTCCAGTCCAAGAGGCTTCTCATTAATTCTAGCGCATGCACAACTCTAGTTAAACACCGTTCATCAGATTCTTGGTCTTGTAAGCCAGATTTGGGCTGTATCTTATTCTTTTCAGCTGTTCTGCCCCCAGGTTTTCTCAGGGAAAGGGTGGGGTGGTAGATGTTCTACATTTGCTTTTTCCATGAGCTTCAATTTTGTGTAGTTATTACACGGACTTGATGTAATTTCCCCTGCCCCCCTTGACCTGTACTTTGAGCAAGACTGGTCTCCCTGTGCTTCCAGTTCGTTCTCTCTGAGGTGAGGTTAATGCTGTAACTACTGTCAGCAAAGCTGCATGCATGCAGTAGTAATTTTTTCGCTCTTTCAGCCTGTGACCAGTAATAACCAACTGATTACAGATAATTTTGGAACAGGCACACATAATGCCTGTGTTGTTGTTTGAGAGGACAAAAGTATAGCTGGAATGTAAGCAAAAACAGTGCATGCCTGACTGGGCTCGGGTTTAACTGAAATTGTATGACCTTTGGCAGTGCATTGTTGTTGGAGTACAAAATTTTCTGTTGTACAGATTTGCCTGCCTTATTTGAATCTTTCCTGGCTAGAAAGGAAAACAAATCATACCCATGGGTTGAGTTTGTTTTATCTGCTGGGCTCCATGCTTGCGGTATGATAACTGGGGCTGTGGAGTACCGATCAAAGGTTATTTGGTAGTAATTGTCACCTTTTCACTTCTGTTTTGTACAGGTACTGCACAGGAATTTAAAAGACACTTTGAAATTCCCATCTTGAAAGGCAGAGATGCAGATGCAAGTGAAGCTGAGCGACACAAAGGAGAAGAGAGTCTTAAAGAGCTGATCAGCATTGTGAACAGGTGAACTTCATCCCTCTTCTCTTTGCAGAGCTTTTGCATAAACCCTTAATGTATACTGATATCTCTCCAAATTGTAGCTGTAAGGAATTCTTGCCAGTTACATCTATTCAGCAAGTGATTGTGCAAGTATTTATTACCTAAGAAATCTACATAGCATATATCTTTAGTCTGAAAAACAGCACATTGAAATGGCACAGTTAGCTGCAGTCAGCCCCAAGCAAATGTGCTCAGATACTGAATCGTGATTTGATTCTTCCGTTTCAGTTTTCTCCTGGGATCTGAATGGTCAGGCAGCATCCTTTTATTTGTGTTAATGTAACTGCAGTGTAGACTGGGTCAGACTTGAGATCTGTCCAGCCCAGATGTTGAGTGGCAGACAGAAAGAGTATAAGGAGTGTTGCTCAGTTCTGCTGTTGATTGCCCAAGTTACAAAAGTGTCCAGCTCGCACCTTCATAGGTGTGTTGTCTCTGCAGAGCTAGTGGGATTAGACTACTAGTGTCAGAGATGTAATTTTTCATCCCCAGGTAGCACCTCTGTGATGTAAAATGCTGTCTTATTTCTCTTTGGTTTATTTTTGGTATTTGTATAAAACTGGTTTCTTTTCTGTTCTTCAATACAACCAGTTTTTCCATGCCTGCTGGCAATTGCTTGTCTCTCTATAAGAACTCTTACTAGAGACTTTTGAATTCTTAGCGTTCCTGGTGTCTTCATTTCTTTTTCTTTTCTTTTTTTTTTTTTTAATCTGAACTTTAGCAACTATCACAAATACAATCCTGCAGTTCATAGTCATGGTAAATTGAATTTCACACCAAGTACAGCGTCTCTAAAGGCAGCCCTGACCTTGACTCAGGTCAGCTTACAGAAGCCAAAGAGAAAGGAGTGGTTGGGATGAGAAGAGCTTATTCCTTCTTGAGGGGCATGCATTTATTTTTATAGTTGATGGAAAAGGGATGTAAAAGTGTGTTCAGAAGTGCTCGTGCCTGGCTGTGTTGAGGTCTATGTCCTTTATTATGTAACAGTCATGATACACAAATAGGGAAGATGAAGCAAATAAGTAGTAACAGATGAATCAGTTGAATTTGGTAGGAGTTACAAATGAGACAGTGATGCAAAGCTATATGGAATTGTAGGCATAATGCTGGAAGGGCCCTGGAGAAGGCATCTAGTCCATCTTGCTGTCCCAAGGTAGAAGGTGTTAAACCTAAACCATCCCTTACTTAACCCCCCACCCAGCACTGAAACCCTTACAAATTCCCCAGGACACCTTTTCCAAGGGATCACTGTCTTTGCAGTTAGAAAATGCTCTTAATGTGTAACATAAATCTTCCTTACCACAGTTTGAGCCTGTTACTTTTCATCCTACTGTTTATGGGTTTGGAGACCAGATTATTCCTTTCTTTAACAGCCTTTGACAGATTTCAGGGCTGTTGCATATCCCTGCTGTCTTTCTTCTATAGGTTTTTGTAACATCATATCTTTGAAGTTTTCTGGCAGAACTGGGTTTCTGCACCTCTTTCTTATTCTGATTGCTCAGTTCAGCATTTTTTCTAGTCCATCCCATCTTTTCTAAAGTGTGGTAGAACCCCTCCATGGGGCATTTCTACAGCCCCAAAGGATATGCCCTTTGCTGAAATCTTGGGCCAGACAATGAACCCATCTTGGCTAAGGATGGCTACTAAGTTATTATGTGGGGAGCTGCCTGCTTGTATTTTGGGTTATGTCTGTAGTGTGTGATGGTTAAATCCTATCCTTGTTTGCTGTCCATGCCACTGGTCTGTTGTAGCTCAAGTTGAGAATGCCATTGGTGGTCTGAGGAAGAGTTGAATTTCTCTTGTAAGGGACTGGGCTCTCCTAGGTGGAATCATGTCTGATCCCTCCAAATCTCATGAACAAAATTTGGAAAACTCACTAAGACAGTGGGTTATATTTGGCTCTGTAGCACAGGCTGATGGAGCCTCTTAGCATGACTGTGTGGATGATGGGTGTCTGGCCTTTGCCGTGTGTTGGACTGTTGCAGACTTTTGGAGGTAAGATATCAAAAGAATTTTGTTGAGCTTGTGAGGAATAGTAGTGGTAAAACAGGGTTTTGATGTTACCCAAGCATCTGGTCTTCATTTCCCTTCCTGCAGGTGTTTAATCCGAAGAACTTCAGACATCCTGTCCAAATATCTGCCGGTGAAGATTGAGCAGGTGGTCTGCTGCAGGTACCAGAAAGCACGTGCTATGCTTGGGCAACAGAAGGATCAACAGGGAGGACTAAAAAGTTGCAAAAAGCCCTTCAATGCCTGTGGTGACTGCTTCCCTCTAGGAATGAGATTGTAGCCATTGGCAACATGTTGCTTTTCCTCCTGAAGCAGGGATGGACAACCCACAACCGGTGGTTCTGCCAACCTGCTGACATGCTCTGGGCAGCTGTGTACAGTAGAACCTGGGCTGTGCGGAGTATTTGCAAGCTTCTCTTCCAGCTCTGGGCTGAGATATCAGTGCTCTACCATCAGCCTTTGAGGCAGTTCTAGGCTTATCTATGCTGTAGCTAAAAACTGTGGCTAAAACGAACCCACTGTTTAGATGGAGGAGGAAGGATGGGGTTGGTTTGGGGGCAGGCTGAGACTGCAGATCTCTTGTTCGGTTTCAGACTGACACCTCTGCAGGCTGAACTGTACAAGAACTTCCTGAAGCAAGCCAAGCCAGTGGAGGAGCTGAAGGAGGGCAAAATCAGTGTGTCATCTCTCTCCTCCATAACTTCCTTGAAGAAGCTCTGCAATCGTGAGTTGTTCTGCTGTTCCACTCATGCAGTGGGTTTGGTTTTTGCACTGTTGGTGGGGTTTTTTTGGGTCTCGCTTGTGCACTTCAGAGTCTCTGAGCTCTGTTTGTTCTCCAGACCCTGCTCTTATCCATGATAAGTGTGTGGAAGAGGAAGAAGGTTTTGTGGGAGCCCTGGACTTGTTCCCTGCTGGCTACAGCACCAAGTCTTTGGAGCCCCAGCTTTCAGGTACTGTGGAACTCAACAGTACAAATGTGCTGCCTAACACAGGCAACCATGAGACAACCGTGGAATTTGGGAACTTCTGCTCTTGCTTTATTCTTTCTTTCCTTTTTATCCAGGAAAGATGCTGGTTTTGGACTACATCCTTGCTGTTACAAAAAGCACCAGTAATGACAAAGTGGTTTTAGTGTCTAACTACACTCAGACATTGGACCTATTTGAAAAGCTCTGCAGGAACAGAAGGTTTGTCTTTGGGCTTCATTTGTTTAATCCTGCAAGACTGTACTGGCAGCCTACACTGTAAAAGAAACTGGCTATTTTTAA